GTGGTCACCTGGGCTTCCTGCACGTTTCTGAACAACCGTGAATGTTTCTTGCTTAAATGTTGGACAGAACTGGCCGGGGAAACCACACGGCCCTGGAGGTTTTGTTGGAAAGTGTCGGCAAATGTTCGTGGAGCAGAGACTGCACGTATCTCCTCTCGACTATAAGCTCTGAGGCTTCATTTTTCCAAAAATATGTTCCTTTCATGTAAGTTTTCAAACGTATCAGCATACAGCTGCCCCCCTAGTCCCTTATCTCTTTAACACCTGCCAGATTTTTAGTGATGATGCCCCCCCATCAGACTTCCGAAATGAGTGCTTTTGTCTTCTACCTTCAGAAATTAGATGTGGAAAAGCAAGTTAAACCCAGAGTAACCAAAAGAAAGGGAAAACTTAAAAAGCAGAAGTCAGAAAGAGAAAGCAGAAACACAGCAGACATCCTAAAACCCAGAGCAGGTTCTCCGAGACCCATAAAACTGATAATCCTGTAGCCACACTCCTGTCTGGTTTTCTCCTCCGCAGGGTCCTATTTTCCTGTGTCCTTGCCCGCCTGGTGGTCTCTGATCGCTGTAACAGTGACCCTGCGGCCACCTTGCTAGGCGCCCCCGCCAGGACACCCCCTCGGGCAGTAGGTGGGGCGGCCACAGGGCAGCTCTGACCCTCTCCAGGCTCACTGCGCAGCCTAGCCTGGGGTCTGATGTTTGAAGACCACAGGCTAACAGGTATTTCCCAGTTTTAATTTGTTTAAGGTGCAGGTTCGGTGCCCATTCCTTCAAGTTGCCTGGAAGAAGGCACTGTTCATCACATCACTTCTACCGCTATTGTCAGGAAAACTCGGACAGCAAGCAGACAACACGTCTGGTTGAGATCCCTGAACTTCCTTATCACTGGGCTGTTCCACAATTCGGTGAATTCTGGAGGCTGATAACAACGCAAACACTCCGGCCGCGAGAACCCTGTGTCTGGTGGAAAACGGGTTCCTGCGCCTGGTGTTCCTTTCTTAGGCCAAGTCGCTGGGCACTTGGAGAGCCTGGCTTTCCCCTGTGGAGTCTTGTTTGAAGCAGGTCTAAGGTCTTACTTTTTCTGCTTCTCTCACTAATAAATACTTACTACGTGATTCCAACACTTGCTCGATTTAGGTTTGTAGCAAAGATGTGTAACCGCCGTAAAATTTATGCATCACAGCAGACTCGAAACAACCCAGGAGCCCATCAACAGAACAACGACTTAGAATGACGGCCTGTCCAGCTAATGAGACACTCTGAAGCCAATGAAACAGGTCGTGTGCACTCATTTGCACGGACGTCCCAGCTTGCCGAGAAAAGAGTAAGCCGAAAACATCCCCTTATCTGGGACCTGCTAGGGGCCGTCCCGCTTCCCCGGGCACACGCCAGCGAGATGTGCCCAGGGACAGGGGCATCCAGCCCAGGGGCCGGACAGGGAGCAGGATCCTGAGCTGCGCGCTCTGCCTCGTGCAACCGAGAAAGCCGCGCTGACCACACAGCATGCGCCACACGCACTCGCAGGTCTCAGGGGAGGAGCGAGCAGGACGGCCTGCGTATCGGCAGACAGCCGCGAGCACGCCACCGCCCCAGAGGGAGAGGAGGTCCCACTGACGGCCCGGAAGGCTCACCTGCGGCTCTGAGAGTTCAGGGCAGAGCCGGCCCGCAGGACGGCCGCTCTGGCGAGAGCCGTCCTGAGAACCCCAGCCCGGGAGGCCTCCTTCTTCCCAGCACCGCCCCTGGGCCACCCACGGGGCCTCCGGCTGTCCCTCCCGTGTGACAGGCACTCCCAGGACAGGGAGTCTGGCTCTCCGGGCTGGTGGCCTCTCCTGCTCCTTGCAAGGGTGGTGATGCCATCACGGGCAGGCCTCATGACCTCGTCCAACCCTACTCAGCCCCAAAAGGCCCACCTCACACCCTTCAGCGCAGGAACGTGGCGGGGACACAAAGCTGGAGGCCCAGGCAGATGTGGAGCCCGTGTTTCTAGGGGGAGACAAACACCTCAGTACCCGACAGACACAGACTGCGAGTCTGGACGGCAAGGACAAGTCCACGGAGCACAGTGAGAGTGTGGGGGAGGCCAAGAGGGACCAGGAGGAGCCTCTCTTGGGGAGGGGTGGCAAGGGCAAAGATTGGGAAAGTGGGGGGGCAGGGAGAGGGAAGGTGGGGACGTCCAGGTTAGAGCAAGCACAGAGGACCAAAACACCTGGCCTATCTGGGGACAGAGCGCGTCGGAGACGGAGCAGAGAAGGCCCCATACGGACCCTGGGCTCTCACAGGGGACAGAAACACAGAGCCAGTCGACCTGAGCTGTGGTCTCGGGGAGCTCTCTGCCACTCACAGAGCATAGAACGGGGATGTGGCCGGGCCCTGGAGGAGGTTCTGGGTGGACCAAGGGGGCACAGAAGGGCCGGCTGGCATGGAGGTGGGCGAGCACAGGGACTGGCTCCTGGACTGGGGCCTGTGCTCCCCAGCGAGGGGAAGAGTCGTGTCACCAGCCACAGGCCCAGGGGTCTCTCAGGGAGACTGGACAGGGAGGGGCGTGGGGAGGTCAGCTGGGTGACACCAGGCTCGACCCCCTCGGTGCCACAGCCGCCCTCAGGACCGAGTCCGCGAGGCCTGGTCATCAGCAGCGTCCGAGGCTCATCAGAACTAAGGGTGGAAACCCCGGCAGTATTTCCTCCCGTTCCCTGCACTTTTACAGAGATCGGGGGTTACAGAAAAAGCAAAAATTAATCCGTGTTCTAAAGGCACGGATGCTGGGTTCAGTTCCTGCGTCTATAAAAGCAGCGCATCAGATGCTGTGTCGAAAACAACACAGCTGCGTAGCGGGAGCTCTCGGGTTAAACGTTCCCTTGAAGAAGGCAGTGACTGGCCTTGGCCCCCGCAGACCCGCTCCCTCTCTGCTCGGGCCAGCCCAACAGCTGGGATCAGCTGGCTCATCACCCCAGGGGTCCGGTCAGCCCCAAACGTGTCAGGGGACTTGCGGTAAATTCTTACTTCCAAGAATCATCCCTGAAAATTCTCTGCCAGGGGAGGTCTTCCTTCTGAAGAGACTTTTGCTCATACACCAGAATAAGCCGCCCTCCAACCGGCCACACCGCCACGCAGGGTCCTCGCTCTCTGCCAAGGCTCCGTGCTCCAGGAAGGCCTCCGGGAAGGACACCCGGGGCTCTGGGAACAGAGCCTGAGGGAAACAGCAGGCGTGTGCCCTTCTGAGTTCCAGGTTCCGGAAACAGCCTGACATGGCTCGTGTGCAGCGAGAAGGCTCAGGAAGGGGGACACCTGTGACCTGCAGTTTTCCAGGGGTCAGAGTCGCAGAAAGCCCAGCTGTCCAGCCTGGACTCACTCGCAGGCCTCGGGTGGTCTGGCTGCCTCAGCACACCCCAGGGACCACGACGTCAGCAGAAGCAGAAAAAACTTGCAAACGCGCACTGACCGTCAGCTTGGGGCTGTCGGGCACTCTGCACCCCTCCCAGCACAAGGCCACTCACTTGCCCCTCCAAGACGGGCACCTAACAGAGATCTCAAACTCCGCGCCTGCCTTTGAGAGACTGAAGGGGCTCAGCTTCGTGGGCGGCTGCTCCAGCCCAAACCGACACAGGCCCAGGGAGCCCGGAGAGGACGGGGGGCGCCACAGGCAGAGGGGCCCCTGAGCCCGTCCAGAGCCCGAGGCTAGTGCTTGGCCAGGAAGGGCCCTTGCCTTCACCCACTGGGCCGGCTTCCTGCCTGGAGCTGAGCCGCCCGGGCCGGGGAGCCCTGGGCAGGGCAGAAGGCTAGCGGAGGAAGGGCTGAGAGCCCACCGGCCTCTGCCAGGAGCCTCCAACAGCCTTCCACGTGCCCATCCCAGAAGACGCTCCCCCCAGAGCTTCCCTCACGTGCTGAGGATCTGCCTTCTGTCCCCGCCAAGAACCAAGCACACACCTGGCAGGCAATATGTGTGGGATGGGTGAGGGAGAGGCCCCACCTCCAGACACCCCGGGAGGACACACCTCGCTGGGCACAAGGGATGGAAACGTCTGCCCGAGGCTCTGCCCTCTGGGTGCCTGCTGTCCCCCGCAGAGTGGGACCAGCATCTGCCCCCACCCGCCCTGCACTCTGAGCCTCTACCAGGTGGGTCCCACAGCCGCCCTGGACCCCCAGCAGGGACGGCAGGCCCTGGAGCAGCCCACTGGCCTGCTTTCACAGGCCAGAGCCTGGACGTTGCCAGGAGCAGGCAGGACACAGCCCACGCCCCAGTGGACCCGTTGCTATGCCGGCCCCTCTGCCCCTCAGACCTCAGCTGGCCGGACCCCGAGGCCAGGGGAAGGGAGGCCCAGGCCTTCCCCAGTATCTCCTGTTGTGTCCTGTTGCCAAAACATACTCACGGGCTCAGCAGAGCCGCGGAAGGGCAGGGGATGGACCCCTGCCGCTCCTCCCCCACCGCCCCACCTGTGCCGTCCTCCTCCCGGCTGTCCTCCCGGCAGATCCAGGCACCCCCTGTCCCAGCCACACTGGATGCCCGGCCACTGGGCTCCTCTCACCCACAGGTCTGCCCACGAACCCCACCCCCATCTCATAGCGGCCTTGCCGATGCCCCCCCGAGGGTCCCAAACACACACACGTCACGTGCCCAACCCCACCCACCAGTCACCGTGCCCGTCCCCCAGACACGTGACTGCCCTTGGCTGGGCCCATGCTCTGGAGCACAGCCGTCTGACCAAGGCCCTCCGTGCGGCTTTGCCGCCTTTAATACGCATCCACAGGACCATCTGGAAAGGCGTCCTCGGGTCTCCAGAAGCTTTCAGTGGCCTCCGCCCTCCAACAATGCAGAGACCCCTGCCCGGGGCCTCGGAATCCTGGCCGGAGGAGGGAGGTCTGGCAGGAGCCTCGGAGGAGGAACGGGACGCCCATCACTGTCAGCCCCGGGACAGCGCAAGCCCACACGATTTGGACAAAACACGGCTCCCACAGAAACAGAGCCCTCACGGCAGAAACGCCGGGTCTGAGAGTACTTCTTACCTGATAAAACTCCCGAAGCCAGTTCTTCTGCAGAGTTTCTGGCTGTAAATCAAGAAGGAAAAGAGACAGTCAGACCACTGGACAGCCCAAAGGAGCCACGAGCAGAAGCTAACGGTCTTCACCGAGACCTGCCGCAGGCCTCACGGTGCGGCACACCCCACGGGGGGACCTCCCACCCCCAGGAGGGAACCCAGCTCAACAGGGCAGGTGCTCTCAGGCACAAAGCTGTCCAAGCGACAGGCAGGCCCCACAGCACCCACCCCTTCACCCTGCTCGATCCCCACGGGGGTCACAGGAGGGACACCCCATCACCAGGCCGGGGTCTGCCACGGGACGGCACAGCAGGTACTGGCCCGAGGGGAGCCTCTGTCCTTAAGGGGCAGGGCTCCAGCCGCAACCCTTGGGCCGGCGTCCAGGACGAGGCAGACGCAGAGGGCCCCAGGGGTGGGCTCCAAGCCCTGGGTGCTCTGGGGAAAGGGCTGCCCAGAACACTCCGTCTCTTCTGGCGGGCATCCCCGCTGCGGGTCGCGGACCAGCGGCCACCAGCCAAGAGGGCACGTGCCCACCCGACCCCAACCTCGGACAAGGCACTGAGACGAAGCATGGGGTGAGACCAGGCAGGAGGGAGTCCGACGGTCTGCAGCACGACTGCTCTCCGAGACCCGGCGCACATGACCCAGGTACGCCGATGCCCGGATGGTGACCGTGACGCTCTCATACCACGTGCTCTCACCACAGTTCAAAACACAGAGCCAGCCCCAGCCCAGAGGTCTCTGCCCGGAGCCCAGATGCTCCCCACAACCCGGAGCGCATCTCCTGCAGCTGAAGTGCAGGAAGACGGAGCTGCAGACTGAGTCGCAAGGGGACGGGGCCCGGCCGCGGAATGAGCGCCTGCGGGCCACAGGAGGGGACCGCGGAGGCTCGCCCCCCGACCCCGCCGCCTTCCCTGCAGAGGGCAAGGAGGAAGCTGCCCCCAAAAGACAAAACCTGGGCAGGTTGAGGCAGAATGAGCAACGAGCACACGGAGAGGGGTTTTACACCGCCTGCCGTCAGGGACACACAGATGCGCCCACGGAGGCCACGGCTCACCCCCCGGGGCTGTTGAAATCAAGAGGGACGGCGGTGGTGTGGGGCGGATGTGGAGGAACGGGAGTCTACAGACGCTGCGGGGTCCGGCGGTCCCTCAAGTGCAGGAGAGAGTCACGGGGACCCGGGCACCAGCACGCTCGCAGGCACAGGCCGTGGTCGCCAAAAGGCGGGAATGGCCCAGATACCCACCCACGGACAAACGGATGAAGCGTCGTCCATCCACACAAAGGACAATGACAGGACCCTAAAAAGGAACAAAGCCCTGACTCCGGCTACAACATGGGTTAGGGCACTGTGAAAGCAGCCAGACACAGGACCGTGGGTCCATGCTACGGACAGTCCACGCAGACAGGAAGCAGACTGCTGCAGGCCACCAGCGCTCCTTGGGAGGGACAGAAATGCTCTAAGAAGGACCACGGTGGTGGCCGCACAGCTCCCCCACGGGCAGCGCCGGGCCACAGCCTGGAGAGGAGCAGCGCTGGCCCACGGCCGCCAGAGGAAGAGGACTCCCAGGGCCCGGGACACACACCCAGGAGCCGGCAGCCGCTGCCCAAGCCCAGCCCAGTCTTGGTGAGGACACGCCAGGGTGACAGCCACCTTTCAAGGCCTTGAGACGAAGAAGAAGACCCGGCCGCGTGACTCTGGTCCTGGACCCAGCTCCCGCGGGATGGCCCGCCGCGGCTCTGGACAGAGTACCTGGGACTGAGGACAAACGCCAACGCGTCTTTTCTCTTCCTCCCTCCTCATAGGCTTACAGTCACCGCACCTGACTTTCATATTTTTAAACTTAGTTTTAAAAAGCTCAAGCCAGAGATCAACCATGAGAGCGCTGCGTAGACCGTGGCAACACTGTCACCTCCGGTCACGGTGTGCCCTGGAGAGAGAGGATGACGAACACGGAAAACTGCTTGTGGGCTGTACGACAGCTGCAGAGAAGCCAGAAAGAGAGCCACAGTTCACACGTGCCCCACTGCACGCACGCCCTCACACGCACTCATGTGCATACACGCGCACGCGTGCACACCGGCACGCACACCTGTTGGAAAGCCCCGAGGCCAGGGCTGGACAGTGCAGGGTTCAGAAGGTTTCCACTGACACGAGGATCAGCACTGCCAAACACGCCCCGCAGTGAGGCAGAAAGTGCTAGATCTGCAGAGCGGCCCGCGTGTCTGAAGCGCGGACTTTCCAAAGCGACTCAATTTTAAGCCGTGACGTGCCGTCGGTGACAACCCTGGCGGCAGCTCTGGGGAAGGAGAAGGGAAGCTTCGGGGTCCCTGTCACGAAGTAGACGTGGCGCTGACCACAAACACGGCGAAGGCCGCACCACAGAAGGGGAGCCACGTCACACCTATGCCACGTACGGGCGTCAGTGCGAACGCGGCACGTGAAAGACCGACACGCCACGGCCGGGCGGCTGTTCCACGAATGCACGGACGGTTCGATGCCAGGGCAGCCGCCGACGCAGCCGGCCGAACCGGTTATGGCTACAGGTCACTGAGAAGGTCAGGACTCCGGGCACAGCTCGAACGGCGACGGCGTGCGAGCCGCACTCCCGCCCTCACACGGACTCCTCTCGACCTGCCAGGGAGGGGAGCGGCTGGCCAACCGCCACCCCGAAGTCCAGAGACACAGACCATGAGAGGGGCAGCCCAGACCCACTGTCCCGGGGAAGACGCTGAGCCAACTCCCCGCGGGAAGACACCACCGCTCACTTGATGAGCTGCGGGAGCGGAGTGCGGACAAGGGGGTGAGAGGCTCCCTGGGACCACGGTTTCCAGGACGGCCCCACGTGTTGGTAGGTTTTACCTCCAGGCATCTTAGCCGGTACTCACGGTCTGGATCAGACAAGGATCCCTGGAGAAAGACCCTCTCTTGGTTCTGGCAGGGGACAGGAGGAGGAGCCATGGGGAGACACACCCTGGGAGCTCTGCACACCAGAAGCCTGCCTTATGGGAGAAGTGGCTTCACCAGCACCTTAGCCCGCCCCTGGAAAGGGTGCTTCCTCCCAAGCTGCCTGCCTGGCACATGGAAGGGATGGACGAGGAGGAGGCACATGTAGGGGAGCCACATGTTCTGTAGGGGCACAGAACAGGGACACAGGCACACCAACCGTCCAAGACTTAGTCACAGACCATAGAGCACTCCCTTCCCCCGTACCACACCCCCACACCAACAGGGCACTGGTGCAGTGGGGATGACACAGACCACCCCGAGAAGTCAGGGAGCACGTCCAAAGACGGACGTGAGGACCGCAACACCGCAGCCGTAGCACACACCGACCAGGGCCCAGAGCTGCGCCACATTAACGGAAGGCGTCCCGCGGCCTCAGCGGCTCTGACGTGATTCTTCGGGTCCCGCTTTCGGCAAGAAATTACAGGGCAGAGTAAAAGGCAAGGGGCAAGTAACAGCGTAAAGACAAAATGCATCGGGTATGACCCAGACTTGGGACTGTCAGAAGGCGGATTCAGAGCAGACTACAGGCTCCGATGGAAACTGTGGAGAGCACAAAAGGACAGGTGAGTCACACAAGCAGTGCGACAGAATCTCTAAGAGTCCAAAGCAACTACTAACATCAAAACCACGGTAGCAAGAATGCCACTGACGGGCTCATTAGCACCCTGGACACGGCCCAGGGAACAAGCAGCTTGAAGACGCGTCAACAGAAACTTCCAAGACAAAAACACTGAAAAAGCTACAGAACATCCAAGAACCTAGAGACAATCTCACGTAATGCAGGCTTCAGAAGAAGACAGAAAAGACTGGAAAACACTGCTGAGGTACTAAAGGCTGAGAAGTTCAAAATTAATGGCAAACACAAACCACAGATACAGGGAAGCGGGGAGAACACTCAGTGGCTTAGATTCCAGCCATGCCCCTTGCGAGCACACAACATTCAACTGGAGGGACGACAATGACACGGTGCGTCTGGGAAGAAGGAAAAACAGAGGCACACCGAGTCCACCAGGAACAGGGACAGGTGTTCCAGCACCTTCCGCAAGCCACGCAAGGAAGGAGAGAGTCACAGGGGATGGGGAGGAAGCCCACCAGCCCAGGATTCTGCATCCAGCAGAACAATCTCCCCAAAAGTAAGGAAAAATAAAGACATTCTCAGATGAACAAAACTGAGGAAATCCGTCACCAGTAGACCCGCCCTATAAATAATGTTTTAAAAAGTTCTTCGGAGAGAAGGAAAATTATACAGGTCAAAATTGTAGATGTGCGTGAAGAAAAATGGAGAAGAAATAAATGAAAGTTCTCCAGTAAAAGTCTGCAACCAGGAATGACCAAGTGTCAACGAACCGGGAAGTGGCTGTCAGGTCCCGCGGCGCCCGCACACGCCCCACCCCGTGTGCACAGAGAACCCCTCCCCTGGGGTGCGGGCACCCATGAAAGTGATAAGATGTCACTCCCTTGATCAGGTCATGTCTGTGGCAAAGGTGGAAGGTTTCTGCAGATGTAATTAAACCCCGAGAATAGCTGATCTTAAGTTAATCAAATGGGGTGTTGTCCTGGGTTGGTCTGACCTTATCGGACATGAGCGGGCACCCTTCGGGAGACTCTAAAGGTTGCAGATGAGCAGGGGACCGGCTCTCGCCTGCGGAAATGGCCTGCCCTCGGCCCCACCTCAGCAAGGAAATGAAATGTGCCAAACCCAGGGGCGCTCAGGGGACCCTGGCCCTCCTGAGATCGCAGCCGGGAGGGCCCGGACGTCCCCCCACAGAGATGAGAGAGACACAGTGCTTGCGCCGAACCACAGCTTGCGGGACTCACGCACAGAAAACGAGCACATGTCCCTGGCCTTGTATGCAGGTGCAGGACAGGCGCACGATCACGGTGAAACGTTTCGCCCCTCGGATTTCCCTGTGGCGTAAGGTCTACGGGGAGGTCCAGTTCAAAACCGTGCCCTCGTAGTGAACGCGCCGTCTTGACAGGTTGTGGAAGGTCTGGGACGA